CAGTTCTCTGTGGGAAGCATTCTCCCATGAATTACTACAGTGGAACAGCAAAGTGTTCTCTTAGCATTCAAAATGTTTAACTAACAAAATTCCCAAAGCTTATCAATGCCTCGGGTGGTTATCAGGACTGAAAATGAAGAAGACAATGGGCACAAATGCATGGCTGAGGAAGTGCTCAGTGGAGAATAAAAAATGTTTTTATTTTGAATGTAGCATGCAAAACTGTTTAATTGATTAACAAAATTCCCAAGACTTAGTTATCAAGACTGAAAATGAAGACTACAGGCCCAAACTGATGGCGGAGGCAGTGTTCAGTGGGGAATACAATGGTGTTGGAACATTGGGCTAATTTCCCAAAAAGGAAAAAGAAAAAAATAAAACCAACATTACTAATTACAGCAAACACCAAAACAAATTCCAGATGAAATTAAAAAGTTAAATAAAATAGGGTGGGTGGTGTCTGTGGCTCAAAGGGGTGCTGACCCCTTATGCTGGAGATGGTGGGTTAAAACCCAGCCCCAGCCAAAAACTGCAAAAAAAAAAAAAAAAAAAAAAAAGTTAAATAAATTAACTTTAAAAAGAAAATATAAATTGTTATTTAATCTTAGATGAAAAAGCATAAAAACAAAGAAAGAAACCAGTTAGAACTGATACGTGTGACTCCATAAAACTGAAGTTTTCTGCAGTCAAGATAAAATACCCATGAATGAAACTAAAAAGCAAATAACAAAATGCAGGGCAGAGGCAATATTGTAATACATATAAAAAACAATTAGTCTTCATCTTTCAAAAGTTCTTGCAGATTACTTACTGGGGGCAAAGGAGGGTGTCAGATATGCCAGGAAAAACAAAATAGATTAAGTTTTTGAACAGGCAATTCACTGTGAATGAACAATAACTACTTTTAAAAGTCTATCATTATATAAAAATTGTGTTCATAAACATCAGTGATTTGAAGGGCAATTGTTTGTGTACATGGATATATGTTTGTAATAAGAATGAAAAAAAGAGAGAAAACTTGGGAATAAATTTAATAAAATATTTACAAAATCTTTATGAAGAAACTGTGAGTCTATGCTAAAAGGCAATAAAAATCTATAATTAAATGAATATTCCATATTAAGATTAAATATCAAAAAGATGTCATTTCTCCACAAAGAAATAAAAAGCAATGCAGGAGTAATTCAGCTCTCAGCAAGATTCATATAGATTTCAGTGAGATCAAAGGGGTCTAGAATAGCCCGACACTTTCAAGAAGGATGAGATAAGAGAGCTGCCCAACGTGACATTGATTCCAGGCATGTACTAACCTTTGTCTATCAATTTCCAAGAGGAGGAAAAAATGCCCCTGGGAAGAGGGAGAGGACATGTTAGCCACCTGGTAATGTCTTCCTATGATTTAAAAACTGTATCCCTTCTTTCTAGGCAGACATGGCCTTAGGTCATGCTGTGCCAAGTAGGATTTGGCATTCCACCCATTTGCTCTTCCTGGAGCCGTTATGCAGGACACAGCTGATACAAATAAGCAGCATCATATGATTATGAAGCTATAGAAATTAACCAACATGTTATTGACACAGCTACATCAAATGGAAGAGTATAGAGAACCCAGAAATATACCCTTGCATGTATGAAAATAATATATGGGAGATGTTGTATTATGTATCAGAGGAGAGAGAAAGGACAATTTGATAAATGATTCTGAGACCAATGGCTGTGAAAAAAGCATCAGATGATATCCTTACTTTCACACCATAAGCAAAAATAAGTTCAACGTGGATTGAACATTTTTGTGTGAAAAATGAAACTAAAACTTTTGGGAAAATGTAGGAAACTATGATAGTTTTAACGACTATCTTTCTGTCATTAAAATAGGGAAAGATAAGTCATACAAATCATAATTAAGAAGGGAAAAAGATTATTTTTAAATCAAAGACATTAGAATTTAAAACTAAGTACACAAAAGACTCCATCATCAAAGTTAAAAGATGCCTATAGCCTGGAAGAAGGTTTTTTCAATGCATAAGACCAACAAAAATTAATAAAAGTAATATATGAAAGAAACTATCACAAATCATAAAGGAAAAGACCAATACCCTAGTTTTCATATGAGTAAAAGATATAAAAGACAATTTACAGGAGAGGAAATGCCAATAAAACTAATAAATGTATCAGAAGGTGCTCAGCTCCTCAAGTAATCAAGGAAATGCAAATTAAAGCCAAAATAAAATACCATTTCACACCCCTAAGATTAACCAAAAATGTAAAGTTTTAAAGCACCAATTATTGGCCAGGATATAGAGCAACTAGAATATTTGGGCTTTTTTGGCCGGGGCTGGGTTTGAACCTGCCACCTCCAGTATATGGGGCTAGTGTCTTACCCCTTTGAGCCACAGGTGCCAGCCTAGAATATTTGTACAGTACAGGTGAGAGTATAATCTTAGCAATCACACTGGAGAACAATATTGCAATACCTACTAAGGCTGAAGATGTATCTATCCTACAACCTGATGTTTTCACCCTAAGGATATTCCTTGA